GTGGCTAAACGTCTGGCCAATAAAATGTCCCGTGAGGGACAGTGCCACGCCCACTTAGTTATAAATAGCAGCTGCCACCTGTCAATCATTTGACATGTCAACACCCTCCTAGATGGGATGCTTTTTAAAAGAAATTAAACATTTTATTCAGCAAGAGTGCATTAAATTTATCGAAAGTGAAGACATTAATAATGTTACAAAAGCTTTCTATTTGAAATAAATGCTGTTCTTTGAAAAAAAAATGTGAAACTGTTTTCAACATTGATAATAACTAGAAATGTTTCTTGAGCAGCAAATCAGCATATTATAATGATTTCTGAAGGATCATGTGACACCGAAGACTGGAGTAATGATGCTGAAAATTCAGCTCTGATCACAGAAATAAATTACATTTTAACATATATTCACAGAAAAAAAACAGCTATTTTGAATTCTAATAATATTTCACAATTTTGTATTGTACTTTTGATCAAATAAATGCAGCCTCGGTGAGAAAAAGAGACTCTTTCAAAATAATTATGTAGACTCCATTATATAGAATACAGAATTACTCATATCATGAGATGAGATTTTGGGGTTGAACATCAACATATAAACGCACTCACAGTTTTGTAAGTGTTTCTGTTTAGTCTCTTATTAGAGCAAGCAATCAGACGTCTACAGATCACACTAACACAGCCGAGAATGAAAACTACTAACAAGAGACTGTCATCATCTCATTATTAGCATGAATAGAACGCCTGATTACAAGAATTATGCATTTAATCTCAGACCCCATGGAGGGAGGAGATGTGTGGCTCTAATAAGACCCTCGCTCGTGAATTAATCAAACTCATCACCTCCGCTGTTGTCATTCGGTTATACACGGTCCCCTTCATCATGAATATCAAGAAATATTTCTAACAAACTCTCCATAATAGAGTGCAGCAGCAGCAGGGCTCTGGAAGTAAAAGTCCCATTTGTTTCTTCCACAAAGAAATTGATTCAGCAATAACATTTAACCCCCTCGAGACAGAGATAACATGAGGACCAAAACTGAAGATTGAGAACTACACACTACACTACCCATAATCCTCAAGCAGGATCCACCAATCAGAGAAGCTGTCACTCTGGGAATCTTGACAGCAGAGTAACAGTGATCGTTCAGTCTCATAAAACATTGCAAAGGACATAATCGAATCAGTCTCTACATCACCAATCTATACCCTTGTCAAGCTATTTCTTTTCGTGCACAATTTCCCCACTTGAAAGGGAGAGACACATCATCAATGGAGGCCTTAACTGGATTCCACTCTTCTTTTATTTGCATCAATTATGGTGAAAGGTGACAATTTTGTAGCAGAAAGGTGAAAAACCTTTAAACAGAAACAATATGGAGCTTATAATATGACAAAACTAATTGAATTTGTATTGTGTAAATTTGAATTATTAACAAGTGTCATTTAACAAAACTGAACATTATGTGGCATTTAACATGGTTCTGAATTAGATTTTTTGAACTTGAATTATTTTTTTTGTTCTGAAATCTTAGACTGCAAATATCCAGTTTTTAAAAATACAGCTTCAAGTTTTCAAGATGAAGAGGAAATTTGGAACATCAAATTAGAGACCTGCGCGGGACGGATTTTTCAGTCCCGCTCCCGCAAGATTCTGTCCCGCTCCCGCAGAAATATATCTTATCTGGTCCTGCTCCCGCCCGCGACATTCATGTTTTGTCCCGCTCCCGCCCGCATAAAAGTAATCTATATAGATTTTTTTTCAGTACATCGAAGAAATTTACATAAAATGGTTCTGTAATATCTCCTAAGCTCCACAACATACCAGCATAAACGCTCCTGATAAAATATTTGTTATTTAGGCTAAGCATCAACATTCACAATCACAAACCACTGTTATTTTTAACAGAAAAGCAAGCATGTGCTGCTGCGTGCATGGTTTGGCATGGCAGAATGCGAGCAGCGCGCTTCCTTTATTATCACTAAAAGCTGACATCTCAGTTAATCGCGATCTCATAAAGCTCTGTTATTATAACACATTAAATATATGCACAATGAATCTTTCACAGTGTCTACACTTCTTGTGTTAAAATGAGAGGATTCGTGAGCACGGAATTTCAGCACTGCGGTGAGTAGATTCTAACTTAATCACCTCTGATTGGCCATTGCGTTCCAGAAATCAACAGCTGAGTCTGTGATTGGCTACATTGCGCAACCTTTTAAACACGTGTTATAAATAGAAACTATGCCTAGCGTGCGCATGTCAATCATTTTAATGTTAATATTAGTTGTTCTTTTTGCTTTTGTGCAACAGATAAATAACAGTTTATATGTTTTAAACACTTTATGTTTAGATAATATCTATTTTGCGGGAGTCCCACGAATCATTTTATTCTCCAGCATCCCGCACACACACGAGTCTCTTCCCGCCCGCACCCGCACTCGCCCATCAAGAGTTGTCCCGCGCCGCACCCTGTTACGTTGGGTCCTGCGGTCCTCCCGCGGGAGTGCAGGTCTCTACATCAAATTCAATACTCTAAAATTCAATACACAGAAATTCAGATCGTACAGAAAGTAGGTCAGAGGTAATCCACAGGGAAGAGTAGATGGTCTCCGAAAAAGTCAAACTAAGCCTTTTGGCCAATCAGTAGTTTTCTGGCGTGAGCGTGCGGTTTAAGATCTATCTGATCATGAATCGCCCAGAGTTAGTGGTTCTTAAACATTTATGGTTTATATACTTATATGTTAGGTTAGCATTCTCAGCATGTGAAACATTTGACTAAACCAGTGATTCTCAACCTTTTTTACTCCAAGGCCACCCTCCTCCCCAAATCAATACATACTTTGCAAAAATGCATGTATTCACTTAAATCAGATTTCCATCACAGTTCTCTGGGTGAAAGGACACGTCAGTCCAGTTTGTCCCTTTAACATGAGGTGATGCACTGTGAAATCTCGCCTCATCCACAGCATTAATACTACAAGATCATTGGCTCAAAGTGTCTGATTAGCATGCATCACACACACAAAAGCACACACATGAACAACTGAACACACACACATCATCTCACTGTCCTGCTCTCTATGCTGGATCTGAGGGGACAGACATAAATTAGCATATTTATAGTCCTTTCAGCACTCTGCTCTCCTGAGTGGCTGCTGTGTGGCTCCGGTGATGAATATTCATGTGCATGCGGAGGTTAATTTGGGCAGAATGTCTGCTGCTCTTTCCTGTGAAACAACACAGATCTTCAGGTAACGACAACCTCCCCACTGAATACACAGACGGACACACACGCACACCGTGGGATACCTGTGCCAGTTTTACTTTCACCTCAACCTACAACAACAATATAAAAAAATGAGCCATACCAGTTTCTCTGTAGATGTTCAATGGTCCGCTTACACTTCTGTTTATAGACATTAAGTGTCATTTCTGCGCAATTAGCGCCATAAAAGAGAGCAGCATAATGACTGTTTCCAAAACACGTTTCCACTTTTCCGTCCCATTACCTGCCATTGGTTTTGTCAGGTTACTTGAACAAACTGAGCTAGTCAACTGATCTGAGCGAAATATAGGTGAACATTTAGTCTAAAATGTTTTGTAAAACCACATTTGGACATCACATTACATTTGTAGGGTAAACGCTAATGCCTAGTCCTGATGCATTTCGAAAGCAAAGCATATGGCACTCCACTCTGATTATTAGCCATCACTGAAGGAATAATGAACAGCACAATAATTTTTAGACGTCTCAAAAACCCCACCCAGCACAGACCCACCCTTCAGAGGCTCCTACCCAAAGCCCCCACCCCTCACAGACCACACCCACCGGAGAACCCATCCCATCAATGACTCCACCTACTGCTGACTCCACCCTTCACATAGTCACTTTTTATAGATTCAACCCACCACAGGCCCCACCTTTTAAAGGCTCCTCCCTAAAGGCTCCACAACTCACAGACTACACCTAAGCTCCATGCATCATATAAATTCACATTTAAATTTAAGACTCAACCCATCACAGGTGCTACCTTTCAAAGACTCTACCCTAACAGAACACATCCACCAGATGCCCCACCATTCATGACTGGCTCCACCCACCACAGGCTTCATCTTTCAAAAGCTCCTCCCTCCAAAGAGCCAATCCTACTTGCTCCATCTTTCATAATCCACACCTCTCAAAGACCGCACTGTAACATAACACATCCACCAGATGTCCCACCCTTTACAGGCCCATCTACGACTGGCCCCACCCCTTCACAAACTCAACCTCTCAGAAACCACCCTCCACAGGCCCCACCTGTGAAAGACTCCTCCACAGAAGACCAAGTCCAACAGACTCCACCCCCAGACCCCATATTTCGGAGACTACACCCACAAGAATCCACCCCCAAAAGATCTTAGGATCCCCCTCTAAAGAGCCCATGCCACAAGCCCCACCCCTCACCAACCACACCTCACCTACCATAAGACCCCACCTTCCATCCCTCAACGACCTCACCCACCACAATTTCCATCCCTCATATAAATTCACCTCACACACAACAGGTCCTACCTCTTAAAGGCTCCTCAGCAAAGACTCCACCCTAACAGAACAAATCCACCAGATACCCCACCCTTTATAGACTACTGGCTCCACCCTTTCACAAGCTCCACCTCTCACAAACCTCATCCTAAAAAGGCTCCTCCCTCTAAAGAGCCAATCCCACTTGCTCCACCTATCATAATCCACACCTCTCAAAGACTCCACCCTAACAGACCACATCCACCAGATGCCCCACCCTTCATAGACCCCACCTACGACTGACTCCACCCCTTCACATGCGCAACCTCTCAGACTCCACCCACCACAGGCCCCACCCATCAAAGGCTCCTCCCTCCAAAGAGCCCATGCCACAGTCTCCAGCTCTTCATAAACTCCACCCACCATATACCCCACCCATCAAAGGCTCCTCCCTCCAAACAGCCCATCCCACAGGCCCCACTCCTCACTGTCAGGCTTACTTGATGTTATCAAGGCAACCAGAGTCTGGCTTCAGGATGGCGGTGTGGTGGAACATCTTGTAGAGAGCGATTCCCAGGAAGATCACATTCAGCTGGGAAGAACAGAAGCACAGGATTAGTTGAGGATTCACACGTGAGGCGAACAGAGGGCTGTTTCATAAAACAAGTTTACCAAACAAGCCAGGCTTATTTATATTATTCGGACTTATTTTGAACCAAATCAACTGACAATAAGTCAGACTAACTGCTTTCAATTATTCAGACTTTAATTTCCACAACATTAGACTAAATGTCATCCCTCCTGCGACTACATACACACACTCACACACACACACACACACACACACACACACAAATATTTCAGCAAGACTTTGCGTGAGGACCATTCATTTGTCAATGGTGTTAATTTCATTGACGAATACTTTTTCATGATTTTCGTCAATAACATTTTTTCACTGATGAAAACAAGACGATAACGAAATAAAAACTCTTTTTGAATGACAAAAACAATGACGAAAATCCATTGACATTTTTGTCAACAAATAAAAACGAGACGAAAATATTATGGAGGGACGATTGGACATTATTCATGTAAGATTACCAGATTACATCTTCAGTGAATGTAAACTGCTGGGAGAATATCGGATGTGTGTAGCAGTATATTTAATCTGTGTGCATTCAGTTTTAAAGGGACAGCAGATTAATTTAGTTTCTGTTGTCTGTGTCCTTGTTGTTAACGAATCAACAAAAGAAAGAGAGAAAATCACTCACTGCTCTTGAATGAATCACTTTAGTAGCACTAATAAGGATTAATCTAATTTTAATTTAGATAATTAAATATGTCTGCTTGAAAGAATTAAGGATGTTGTATGCAAGTTGTTATAAAGAATGAAATTATATAACCATTGGTATTTCATTTGGTATTTCAAAAGAGGACCATGTTCTTGTTTCTTTATGAGAAGTGGTTTTATTTCATTTTGAGATAAAGACATGTTATGTGTCAAAGCAGTTAAATCTGTGTCTACATTGCATGTTCAAATCATTCATATTACCAGATGCTTTCTCCAGGAATACACAATGAGTTTGGACATTTTAGAGAAATGCTTAATAAATGCATTACACTGTAACTAAATCCATTCGATTTTAGTTGACTAAATCTACTGACGACTAAAACTAGTCTAAGACTAAAACAATTCAGATGACTAAGATGTGAATAAAACTAAATGGTATTTTAGTCCAAACACTGCAAAAAAAAGCTTATCTTACTTAGTATGTTTGTCTTGTTTTTAGTCAAAATATCTAAAAATTCTTAAATTAAGGTGCCTTTACTAGATAAGCAAAATGGCGTAAGATATTTAGTCTTGTTTCCAGGAGGAAAAAAAAAACTAAATTAAGTGCATTTTGCTTAAAACAAGTAAAATGATCTGCCAGTGGGCTAAGTCAAATATTCTAAAAACAAGAGTATTTTACTTACCCCACTGGCAGATAATGTTACTTATTTTAAGCAAAATGCACTTAATTTAGCCCCCCCCCAAATAAGACTAAATATCTCACGTCATTTTGCTTATCTAGTAAATGCATCTTGATTTAAGAATTTTTAAATATTTTGACTAGAAACAATACAAAAATAATAAGTAAGATAAGACTTTTTTTGCAGTGAAGACTATGACTAAAACTAATCAAAATGTTCTGTCAAAATGAACACTGATGAAGACTCAGATTTGAGTGTGTGTGTGTGTGTGTGTGCGTGCGTGCGTGCGTGTGTGTGTGTGTGTGTGTGTTGGTGTGGGGGGG